CAAGTAACATAGCAATCAACCTATAACTTGTACCTCTGACTCTCTCAAGCACTAAGACCTTTTGCTTATACATACACAAGTTATTTTCCACAAATCCCACGCATGCTTGAGCCCTGAAAACACCAAGAACACAGATTTGCATCTCACACTTCCATTGTTGCAGATTCTGGCCAAAAATCCCAAAACCAAAAACTACTCGTGTGTTTCTTGGCTTTTTGCTTCCAAAAGTTTTTAAACATCATTTAGAAGTCATCCCTTCCCTTGTTACAGTTATGTAACACCATCTTCCTCCATTTCCAAGCTCAAAAATAGAACACTGTAAGTGGACTTCTCCAGATCATTTCAACCACTCTCCAATCAAGCTAATCATTGCATTAGCTTCCTAGGACCTCAGTGGAGCTATACTGATCATCACAACACCTTGAGGAGTGTTCATTTGCAGAATACGACTTCCAGTTTTGAGGTAAGTTATCTCAACTTTGAACTCTTCATAGAAGCATCATTAATGGCTTATTTGTGAATAAAAAATATAGATATCATTGCCCTAAAGCTAACCATGTCCATAATTTTCATTTATATTACTTGAGCTTAGAGAATTTTAAGATTGAAGTTTCTGAAATTTTTAGGGTTCAGATTAGGGCCATTAAAATTCATATTTGTCTTTGATCTATAATTTTATTGCTTTGCATTTCTGAAATCGTGAGGAAATTTGTTACAAGTTTCCTGTTTACATTTTTCATTTTGGTTGAGAATTGAAAAAGATGCAGAGGTTCAGGCTGGGCGTGAGGTTGAAGATGAAGTTGTCTTCAGGAACGTGTTTATCATATATATTTATGGTTTGATATTAATAAACGGATGTATAGCCACCCCAGTGGTAGAAGCGCGCGCCTGTGACTATAGGGACCTGAGTTCGAGCCCCAGTGGTACCCTTTTGGGATTTTTTCATATTTTTTCACATATTCTGACCTTTTTTTGGCAGCGCTGGGCCTCATTCCCTTGGGATTTTTTTTTTTACTTCTGACCCCCCCTTGCTGACTATTCACACCCCTGGCCCATTTTATTTTCTTTTTCTCATTTTTATTTATTTTGTTTTCTTAAATATTTTATCTAATACTAAAAAATAAGAAAAAATATAAAAAAATATTAGGTTTATATTTTGATATAGTTTATTTATTTTTTACACAAAAAAAATTATTTTATTTAATCATACTTTATTTATTGTACTAATTGATTTGTAAATTTAATTAGAAACTAGTTTTTTTTAGTTATTTTCCTTTACACAATTTAAATATATTATTTTAAAATGTAAAAAGACCAAAAATATTTTATAATACTATAAATTATTTTTAAGGCAAAAATACCAAAAATGTTCTTCTTATAAACTTAATTTCTTTTTTAATCAATTAATAGATTAGGGTTTTATTTAATTTTTTCCCTAGTAAATTTAAGTCTACTTTTCACTAATTTAATTAATTATTCTTCTTTTTAATTAGGTTAAAACAAAACCCCTTTTCCCTAAAAACTCCAAATAAAAGTCAATTTTCTTTCCATTTTACATTCTTGTATTTATTTATTTTTGTACCTTATTTATCCAAATTCAATATGGTTGTAATAGATAATTAGGTTTATTTTCTAAGCAATCCCCATTTGTAATTTGTACACCCCCAAGTATTGTAATAGTGTAGTAATTTTAAATTCCGCAATTTATCGCTTTATATACAAATGCTAGTAATTAGGGTTTGTATGGGAAGACTAAAACCAATCAATTAACAAACCCTAATCAAAGACAAATCAAGCATGAAAATTAATACACTTGCACACAAACACCCTTAGGGTAAATTCACTTGGTTGCCTTACAAAATGATCATATTATGCATGTGAGGTATCTTAGCAAAAACAAGCAAAATATAAGATCATAGTTCCTCGATGACGCTATCTATGTTGCCTTCCAAATGATCTTAGTCCCTAAAAGATATGCTAAGATACCTTACAAGATTGCTAATCATGGTTATACGATGACCCATACCCGTCTCATTTACATCCAAAAATAAGGTTACTTACTAAATCAATGGTAAGATAATAATGTCAAAGGAAAGAGGAAATGAACATGAAAGACTTTTGAGTAGGTAGAATGCTCCTAGTTACTTGCTCGCTTTCAAAACAAAACATCCTTGCTATTTTCAAAACATCTTACAAAACTTGAAAAAAAATTCAAAAGATCAACATCTTTGTATACATTCTTACGAACGAGAATCATTACAAAGTTTGCTTAAACAATGGCACATTTTCAAAATACTTTCAAAAATCATACAAAGCACATTTTCGAACAAAAGCAAGTGATCTAGCAAGTAACTAAGAGCCCATGGAAAATCATAGATGAAAAGTGTGCTAATACCTTCCTTTTTCATAATCTACCCCCCGAACTCAAGAAATAATCTCAAAGGTCTTTCCTGTGCTTTTTCACCTTTCCTTTTGGATAAAAGAAAAGTTGGTGACGATTCTTGCTAACCGCAACATTTACGATCAAACGCAAAACACCCAAGTCAGTTCTCCCACCGTATTACATCATGCATTTCTCCTTTAACTTGCTTTCACGCATCATTCAGATGTGGATAAGGCCAAAAAGTAGTTATCTAGCCTCGTTTCACATTCCAACTTCTTCAGTCAAAATAATCTTCAAATTACTCTAAAAATAACTAAGTCTCAAACATTGTTGCGTGTATAAGAACTTCGACATATTTCTTTGAACGTGTATTTCGAAAAATCTTCCAACATGTTTTCCAAAAAAAACACCAATATAATCAGCTAAACTTCTCCAAGTATTTCTTCAAACTCCTTCTTGATATGCTGAAGTTTAAAATATATCAAAAAATTCAGCTAACAACAACCGTCACATAAGACCACTGACTTGTGGATGACATACTTTGATACTCCTCTTGTACCAGATGACTCTAATAATCCGCCAATATATCATCAAGATGTATGTGGAAAATGTTTTTAAGAGCAGACTCGAAGAAGGATCTCAGAATAATCTGCACATATCCAAACTGACGCATGCATCACTACGGCAGATACTAATACATCATATTCCTCTCACATGCCAACCATTCGAAGTAAAATGAAATTGGGTCGATGGCAACAGTGTCACGGTGAATGGTGTGTGGTTTCCAGATGACATCATGTGTAATCCGGTCAATATACACACAGAACGACCCACAACATCATTCCCTCTATGCAGATAACACGTGTAAGCATGTGGCCAATCCTCAACATAACCTACCACACGATCAAACTTCGTGTATGCAGTGGAAGTGGAATAGGATTCATCCCGAAAAATAAATAAGAAAAGAATATTAGTAACATGTGTAAAAAAAAAGGAGAAAAGACAATTTGTCGGTGTTGTTTGCATCCAATTTTCCTGGAAAAAAACAAGAAACTGACATCAATTTGCATCCAAGACAAAATAAAAATATTTTCAGCTATGCATCTCTGAAAATCGATAAGAACACAATTTAAAGTTTCATCTCCGAATAAGCTCGTGTTTCTAACAATGACAGAAACGCATATTAGTCTTACCCTAACAATCAAAATGCAACCAAATGAAAGTGTATGTCACGAACAACTACTTATTTCAAATTTGACTGCTACCTAATGCATTTAAAATAATCTATTTTATCTAATACATTAATAAAAACTCAAAAAAAGTTAAATGAGAAACTTACTCAAAAAATATTAAGGATGAAAAATGTTGAATGTAGTAAATGGATTGAGTTGACATTGAAAAGCTTGAAGTAGAGGTGGCGTTGATCCTTGAAAAATAGATTGGAAATATGTTGTTCATGAGCTCCAATAAATCTAAAAGTTTTCGAAAAAACACCTAAATTTAAAAATAAAGTTTAATCTAAAGATGCATTTGCGAATAAATCCTAAAACATATACAGAGATGCATCTTGACATTAAATTTTGACAAAGTGAGTGAAACTCAATCATTTGCGCTTATTTTGTTGAAAAATAATACATCCGAAGATACATCTCCGGAAACTAAAGATATTTTTTTATTTTTGTCAGAGGTTAAAGAGAACCTATATAGGTGAAAAAGAAAATTTTCATACTATATTAACTAACACTAATAAAAAAACAAAAAATATATATATATCATAGTCCAAATCTCATGAAAAATTAAAAATACTTTTAAATTTCATAAATGTATTTTCAAACGCACCGATTCACACAAATCATTTATTTTTGAATCACAATTCAATTCTAAATATTTCGAAAATACATTTTCAAAATTTACTGAACTAGAAATAACTGGTTTCATAGATAAGAAACTTTACTCGACAATGTGACGTTTGTAGGGATGACATGCACGCATGGAGGCATGATTGAAAAAGGCAAGCATATAATCCAGTCAATAACAAAAGACTTCAACATTATTCTAAACCTCCTAGAACACTATAGCTTCATGGTTGATCTCTTAGACCGTGCAGGGCAATTAACATAAGCTTATGATGTATACTACATAAGTTCATTGTAGAGGATAGATCCCATTTCCAAAATAAATCCATTCAAAGAATTAGGACATGACTGAAAAATGAATGAGTTTAGGTATAAATTTATACATAGAATTAGGACATGATTGAAAAATGAACGAGTTTAACCGAAAATGTATTTTTTAAATTAAGACATATTTAAATTTTCTAAAGTGTTTTTCCATTATTTAGAGTACAAATTTCCAAGGATCCAGCAATTCACATGTATGACGTAAATTATGGAATTCATATAAAAGAGTAGTGGGTGCCCCATTGTTACAGCACTCATTTGGATTCATCACTTATGTTAGTGTGTAGAAATGCTGTCATCATTTTTACTAGTAGGGGAAAAGTTTTTGGAAGCAACTTTCTTGGTGACCGACTTTCGCATTTACAAAAGTTAAGACCCGTGAGTAATCAACTCATTACAACTTGGAAACTTTTACACTACCCCTTGACTCTACGTCTCTACCCCACAAGGTCCCTGTGGAGAGTTAAATAACAAATAATGATTATTAAGGTTTGAATAGTATCTGTTTACTTATCTCAATCAAAATCTTATTTCAGTACACTCTACCATAGTCTCTATTAAAAGAACAAACCAAAAAGAAACGCATACCTTAAGAAAGATGTTAAATCTAAATCTAGCATACTACAAAAAAAACAATATCACAACTAAAGTTTCAAAATCACAATATCCTCCATTCCATTCCAATAACTTAAATACAAAATGTCTTTAAAATACCAAATATAAAGTACACGAGTGGCCACCCAAATCAAAAAAACCATTGGGCCGCAGCCGTACCAAAACAAGAAAGAAACTATAAATTGATCTCAGCCTCTTGGGAGAGAACCAAAACAATTGCACGTATTACGTAGATGGAACGGGCCAACAAAAACAAGAGCCAATTCCTGAAAGGAGATTCTGCTGGTAATAGGCAACAAGGACAAAACCTATAACAGAAAACTCCAACCTTTTACCTAAACACCTAGTCCAAATTTCAGTTTGACATTTTTCATAAAGCATTAGCAATTTTTTACTGTATGTTTCCCACCTATGTCTGTCACTATACACTATTCTACAATGGAGCCAAGTCCTTCCATTAAGAGAGACTGACAGATTCACCACATCAAATATTTAGCCACAACCACGATCTGCCATATTTCAAAACAACCAAGTTACCCAAAATAAGAGCTCATGTAAAGCCTCACACCGAAATCAAGAGGCCCGGCATCACCACCAACAGCATGAAGTGCAACTGGAATTTTTGAAAGAGGTTGCACAGTGAGTGGAAAAAACAAAGGCTCAATTTCAGTGTCAGATCTGGAAACGTGCTGCTTGTTCATGTCAGATGCAATAGAATCCTCTTTCATTTCTTCATTTTTATTGCAATTATCCACTTTAACTTTCAGGTCATTCGGACAAGCAAGCAATACAGCTTCTGACAATGGCTTCCATTTATTATTGTTGCCCCTTCTAAAAGCACGCTTATTAGGAGATATGCTAAGCACCAGTGTGGATGTTGCCTCAAGCCACTCTGCAGTCAAACCTTCAACTTCATCATAATATACACGTCTCTCAACCTGATAAAGTAGGGACAAGGATCAATAAAAACTGCAAAATGCATTTGTAACAGAAAAGCTCTACATGCAAATTTAAGTTTAATTATGCAAAAACTTGAATATGATAAATTTGTTACTAATGAAGTTCGCGAAAAAAAATATTCAAAAAATTGTACTCCAATAATTGACTACAATGAAAAAATATTAAGCATTTCTTATTCCAAAAGTACTCATCAAAAATGAAAGCTTTGTAGAGATGCCACAATAGGAAAATCTGAACTACATATAGTAAGAAGTTACTTACAGCTAGCTTTTGAATATAAATTGACATGAACTTCGGGCCAAGTCCCAATATTCTTGCTTCTGATAATAAGACCTGTAGAATAGACGGACATAGTTTAATTGAAGAAACTTGCAACCAACCCTACGCCTAATAAAAGATGATAAGAACACAAAATATTTCAATCAGATATTAAAATGCTGCAAATAGAACAAAAGTCACTTCATTCACTGAGAACAACTTAGCATACCAAATAATGGATTGCAGATCATAATATCAATAACCATAAAATATGAGAATCTTAACCTCGGCTGATGGGATAGCATCACTAAAGAACTATACCAGATTGACATTAACTGGTTAAGACATAATATCAAAGTCAAAGAAGACCAACTAATCCAGACCGAACACAAATTTTAAGCATGCTGACTTTTACAAAAATAAAAAGTTAAGGTAACATTTTTTTGTATAATCTCCGAAAAGATAAATCATGTGTCAAAGGGAAAAGGCATACACTGCAAGAATACGTATTATGATTACAAAATCATCAAATTAAAATAAATAAACAACCAAATACTGTTTTCAGCTGCAATCAATTTCACCAATTAAAAAAGCTAAGGGTATATGTTAAGAAACATAGAAATATTCATCATAAAAGGCGTGTATTCAAATATAGAAGTTTAAAAATTACTTTTTCCAATGCAAAATTTTTACATTTGGATTCCATAATCTTTTACCGAAAAGAAAATTAGTCTAAAAACAAAATGAAAGTGGTACCTTTTGTTGCTTCAGGAGAAACCATATGTAAAGTCTATCACAGGCATCCTTAACATTTCTACAAGCCTTCTCTCTCTCATTACAATGATCGGCAATATCCGCAAGTGCTCCAGCACTCAGAACACTGTGCTTCAAAGCTGCAGCTGATAAAGCTTTCCTGCATTCGACAGACTCTGCAGCATTTTTATCAAAGTTGATGCCTGTGAAACATCTGTTCTTTCCCCCAACTTCCTTTCCAATCTGCTTCATATAAATGTTCTCGGCCTCTATCGTAGCAAGTAGGGTCCGATGGACAACAATATCTGAATATCGACGTAAAGGTGATGTAAAATGGGTGTATAAAGGGACAGCAAGTGCATAATGACCCCATTCCTGTTCATTATTCTTTAAATAACTACTACAGAAGTAAGAAGCCAACTGCATTGGCTTTGTAGCATAGGAAATAAGTATATCATTAAGCACAGGGTCATCCTTGAGCTTTTCCTTTAATTGCTCTAAGGACTGATGGATATGACCAGAAGAAGAAGTGTCCAAATTTAAACCATGCTTCTGACAAAATGCTGTAAACTCTCTGAGCTTACGCATATTCGGTTCAGGATGCCTCCGCAGTAGTGCAACTTCAGGATAAGCTCTACATATTACTTCGGCAGCTGTTGTATTGGCCAAGAGCATATATTCCTCAATGAGAAAATTTGATTCTTTCTGTTCAGAAAACGAAATGTCATATGGGATGCCATTCTCATCAAACAGGATAACAATTTTGGGGTTATCAAGGTGAAGAGCCCCTCTACTAAATCTCTTATATTTCAAAACTTTTGAAATTTCATAGAGACTCTTTAAAGAAGTAATAACATCAGGCCACTCAAAATGGCCATGAACTTTAGGATAGTCATCTTCATGAAAGCTTGAACTCTCAAAATCAAAAGCATTATCAATGATGTCCTGTGCATGTTCATATGAAAGCTTACAACAAGATTGAATAACAGTACGACCAATCCAACGGTCTACAACATCCCCATTAACATTTACATCCAGGAACATGGAAAATGCAAGTCGATCCACTCCAGGGTTAAGTGATCCAATATTTTCTGAGACTAATGCAGGTAACATTGGTATTTTCTTTTGCAACATGTAAACACTTGTTGACCTAAACTGAGCATCACCATTTAAATGTGTGTCTGGTAGAACAAAATATGATGCATCAGCAATATGGATGCCTACTCTATAATTTCCATTACGCAACTTCTCAATTGACAGTGCATCATCCAGATCAGTTGCTGTTGAAGGATCAATAGTAAATATACACAAGTTTCTAAGATCAGCTCGGCTTTGCAATTCCTTCAATGGTAACTCCCAAGGAACTTGTGGCAGACAGGATAGAACTATAGCCGGAAACTCAGAATAACGGATGTCATTCTGAAACAAAATAGCATCTAACTGGGGCTGAATTTCACTGCCTCTCCCAAAAATTTGCAAAATATGACCCTCTGGAAAAGGACTTTCTTCAAACCAATCATCAATTTGTACAGCTACCAGATCCATTTCAATTGCTGCATCACCGCTTTTCAGCCTTCCATTAATGCTCTCTGGTAAATCTCTAACAAGAAGCATTATGTTTGGAAACTTTGGATCAATTGGTGTCAGCTGGATATATTCATGCTCAGACACCAAATTCTTATTCTTTCTTGCATCTTTCTTGTTTATGTCCCGGGAAAAAATCAATTGCTTGACATTAAGATGACCAACAATACACTCTCGACGTGGAGACCTCTCCAAAACAGCAACCACTCTTCCAGTTGGTCTTTTAGAAGGGAAAGAATTAACCAACAAACACATATTCTCCACTGCATTCATAACTTCACTCTGTTCACTACCAGAATTAATCTTTGAGGAAGCAGACTCATCACAGGGAAGTCTATTGTTGCTATCTCGGCCAGTTAGTCCAATTAAACTTAAATGGTTAGGAGAAGCCTGTGTAGTATTACTATCCTCATAAATGTATCTTTTTTCAGGAAATGGATTACTTCTATAAGGGGAAGAGTTCTGACAAGATTCCACGTTTTTTTGACCAGAAGAGCTTCTACAATTAGAAGAGTCTTGATCAGCATTTATCTTGTCTTCTCCTTTAAAATTGTTATCATTCACTGCATTATCTTGGACAAGAAGGTTACAATCTTCCAATACTGCAGTATTGCTGTTCGCCACATTTGGTCCTTTCATTTTTGTCCACCATGACAAAGGATCAATCTTGATAGCAACAACATCGCCTTCCACCTACAAAGAAGAATCATCAGATGCACATCCTCCAGCTATGGAAGAAGCAATGCAGCCCCATCTAAAATCCATGCCAATGAGAAATGAAAAAGGTTTCATTGTAAATGAGAAAAAAAAACAATAAAGTCACTGTAAACTACTTTAAAAAAATTGATTATTGTTATAGAGCTTAGAGCTTGAAGATTTTTTTTGCCGAGCCAAAAAGAGAAAAAAACATACACATCCTATAAACAAAAGAATGCAATCCAGCATATGCTACAGTATTAAATTTGATCGACTTTTCCCCTAAAACAGAGACAAAGATAATCAGGCATATGCTAGGTCGATTATTAAATTCTTCCATTCATATTTATTAATACATAAAATTCATAAATCATACTTAAAGCATGGACATGAGATTAACAAGCAAATTCACTTAACAAATGCCTTTTTTTATTGATATGTACTATATATGATAAGTTGAAAACAAAACAAAAAAAAAGCATTTCCACAACAGACACCAAACATTGAAGTATATGTCCAGACTTACAGCTCTATTCTGGGCCGGAACCCCACCAATGAGAATATCTGTTGGCACTCCATCAATTCTGCAGTAGGCCTATATGGACAAATACGGAAAACTTTAATCACTATAGTAATATATCAGATTTGCCAACATGTTATGAGGCATGTCATAAGTTTACCCAACCACACCCACTAAAAACCCAATAATAAAAGTAACTATCAGATAGATGAAGAAACCTCAAATCTATTGTGAGCATTGACATGAAAGACAGCTTTGAAAACATCATCCCTCTGCAAGTCAAAAGAAATTAACCAAATGTCAAAAATAAAATAGTCAAAAATACATTGTCAATACATGTGTGTATGTGAAATTAAAACTTCACTAACATCCAATGCCTTCTCAACAGCCTCAACAGACCAGTGTGGACTAAAATAATTCCTCTGGCCACTAACACCACCAGTAACACCAATTTGACTGCAAGGGACAGAGTCTTTCTTTTTATTAGTTCCCGGTGACCCTAAGCAACAGATGGGCTCTGAAAAAGGCTTTGAAACAATTCCTCCTTCATGTATTTGCGTGTTTTGCAAATCAAGAGGTACCACCCGATCGTTAAGAGGCATTGAAATGGATCCAACACTCGGGGCTTCAGATAATTCTTGCTCATTAGGAGGCAAAACAATAACACCCAGTTGTTTCATTGAATTGCCAACAGATCCAGATGTTAGAGAATCTGTTCCATTTATTCCTGAGCATTCTGGGGACACCCCAACAGCTTCATTTACTTCAGAAGCTATCCCAACAGAAAAAACAATGAGGATCAGTAAAGACAGAAAAAACAATGAGGATCAGTAAAGACAGAAACTGATCAGCAATATTCTCAGCATTCATAGCCCAGATAGAAAAAGGTCAACTTTTCATAACCAAAAAAATCGTTAAACAGTTTCCCATACATTATTACTACATGTTTCAAGTTTCAAATTTAAAGGGCGACAAAAATCATCACTGAAAGGTGAAGATCAAATTTTGAGTAATCTAAACTGTATAGTATAGTTAATAGTTTACTATAGAATTGCAGCTCAAAAAACAAAACAAAAAAATCGACTTGATATAAATAGAAATATTTACCCTAATTCAACAATGACGATTAAAAAAGTTCTGATAATCCCTAAAACCCTAAGATAAAATTATTATACCTGATTGCAGATTCTGCTTGGTTCGACGATTGGATCGGCGCTTCTTCTTCTTATCCTTTTCAGCATCATCGAACCTCTCAGCTAGCATGGATCCTTCGACCGAAGCTTTCATAATTAACCGAAAAATTAGAAATTCAAGAACGGAAAAACTAGGTTAGAATTAGAACCCGGAGTCTTCCGATTATTAGGGGAAAAATGTGAAACTGAAGAATCAGGGTAGGAAAGAGATAGAAAAGTGTGAAAGGGAAATTGGGTTTATATAAGAGAAAAAAAAAAACAAGAAGGGTTTAAGAATAAAGGAGAGTGGAAAAAACGAGGAGTTTTGTAGGAGGATGAAAACGACGCTGTTATTGGTCGGCGGGGGGAACAATGTGCGCCGACTATATGCTTTCCTTTCACCTTCTTTATTTTTCTCTTTCCAAATCTTTTCCACTTCTTTCTTTTTATATTCTTTTTTTTTTTTTATCTACCTTTCCTTCTTCCTACTCCACTTCGAGCTCACACTTTCTTCTCTTTTTCAGTGCTTTGATGTTAATTTATTTTTTTATTTTTTATTTTCCTAAAATCCTTTTAAAAGACTAAACTAAAACCATCATATTTTTGTCTACCTGCTACTACTATTTTAATTTAGTCTATATCTTATGTTAAAATATTTTTTTTATTTGGATTTGCCTAGTAAAAATAGCAGTTAAGATAGTAAGATATTAGATACTTGATGGTATATAATTGAAATGTTTGGTAAAATTAGTGATTTGATCAATTAAAATGATATGAAAAAATATTTAATATATAATTATTTTATTTTAAATTAAAATAAATTATAAAGAATAGTGGTAGATTTTAATTAAAATAATAAAGATAAAAGTGGAATAAAAAATAATAAATTATGAACTATAAACTATACCGTTATTTAAAATAGCGTTATAAAAATAAGTTATAAATTAGTAAAATAAATTATAAGCTCGTGATAAAAAAATATTATTAAACAAGACTTTTATTGTCATATGAGTTTATAAGTTATAAATTATAAATTTAAAAAGTGACTAGCCAAAAAGACCTTTGATCTCTCTATTTATCTAATTAATTTAATCATGTTAATTAGGGTTGTTCATATGAAAAACTACTAAACTGAACTAAATAAAATTAAATTATAGGAAAATTTTACTCGAATTTAGCTGAATTGTTTTAATTGACTCAAAAATGAATTGAATTATAACTATTAGTTTGGTATATCATTTTGAAATTTGAAACCATATTGAACTGTTATAAGTTATTTTTTTCCAAATCGAATCATTTAATAAAGAAACGAATCGTTATATTTTTTTAAAATTTTAAATAAAAAAAATTAGTTTTTAGTATTATTTATTTTCAGCTTTTTAATTTGTTTTCGTTTCAGTTTTTATTCAATTATAGAATTGTTTGTGCAATATAGTTTCGTTCGCTAATCAAATATAACGGTTTAATTATTTTAACTTCAATTCGATGATTCGCTTCGGTTCATAGTTTTTTTAACAACCCTAATGTCAATGATAGTGATGTGACTAACAACTCTGCCATGTGTAAACTATAAATTGTATTTAAATATATTCTTAACTCTATCAATATTTTAAATTTTTTAAAATAAATAAAAAAGGATTTTAATAATTAAATAATTTGGCTTTTTCATATCCTATTTGGATTTGAATGAAGGTTGGAATTTCTATCTAAATTTTTCAGTTATTGAGAATGGCTTTCCTAGATAAGCAATCTGCAATTCAGTTATTCTTTCTGCTAGTGTGTGAAATTCTAGCACACATCAAACCCTTCATCTTTCGTTGAATGTTGTTGCTCATTAGACCACCTTTGTTTTTTTTTTCTTTGTTTTTTCATTCATCATATTTATCAAAGTTGTTGTGAAAACGATGTCGGAATAACAAAGTATAATCAGTTTCTTGATCGACAAAAAATCCACAAGGGTATGAAAGAGGTAAGCAAGAATAACACAATGAATTGGTTATAAATTGATATTCTTTACTTTCTCTTTGAAACAAGATTACAAGTGTTACAAAACAACAAATAACATCTCTCACTCTAATTAGGATTTGCATTGTGCAATGATGATAGACTAGTATGTTATTTATAAAAAACTAACACATTAAACTAATGGGCTTTTACACACAAACCGATTATACAAGCTAATTTAAACAATTGGACTTTTATAAACAAGCCCAATTTGACATGCTAACAACCCTAACATTTCGACTATTGTATACTTGAGCATACTTCGACTATAACATTGTAGGGCTTCGACTACAGCATGTGAACAGACTTCGACGGTATGCTAAGATCTGGTCGAACTATCAAACCAAGAAGTTACCCTTTGACCATACTAGAGTTTGATCCAATGTCTCACAAATCTCCATCTTAGAACAAACTCTATAACATCAAGGGTATAAACTATCGTTATTCATGCAGCTTTATCAAATGTATACAGTGGAAAAACTTACAACTTGCCAATGTCTTGGTGATCATATCAACAAAATTATGATTAGTCAAAACCTTTAGCACTTATACTTCTCCACGCTCGATTACCCCCTCTGACGAAATGCAGCCTCACAGCGATGTGCTTAGTTCACTCATGATAAGATGAATTCTTCAACAGATGTATAGGACTTTGACTATCACAATTAACAATGATAACTCAACCTTGAAGTTTCAGCTTCTTAGAAAAACCTTCAAGCCACAATATTTCACTCACAGTTTTAGTGATGGCGATATATTTCGCTTCAACGGTTGATAAGACAACAACCTTCTAAAGTGTCGCTTTCCAACTGATTGTTATGCCAAACATAGTGAACACATATCTAGATAATAGATTTCTTTGAATCTATACAACATGCATAATCAGAGTCGACATACCTTTCGATTATTGTTTTATTATCTCCACCACATGCTCTACCATAAGTTTGTCAGAGTCACAACGAACTTTGAATTTAACATACCAAATTTATCGAGAATCTTCTGTAGGTATGTCTCTTGAGATAAGCATGATTTTGACTATTTTCTATCTCTTTAAATGTCAATCCCAAGAATCTTGGATGCAACTTCCAAATCCTTCATGTCGAACTCCTTATTGAGTTCAGCCTTAACTTTCATTACATCTTTGACATTGTTGTTTGCTATGAGAATATCATCCACATAAAGCAACAAAATAACAAATGAGTTTCTAGGTTGAAATCTAAAGTAAGCATAGTGGTCGAACTGACTTCTGATGAAACTTATGTGTGCGATGAACTTGTCGAATCTCTTATTCCATTGTTGAGGATATTGTTTCAGTCTATATAAAGATATATTCAACCTGCACACATAATCTTCCTTTACCTTTTCTGCATACCCTTCAGGTTGCCTCATCATAATTGTTTCATCTAGATCTCCATACAAGAAAGCAATCTTCATATCCATTTGTTCTAGTTCTAGGTTGAATTGTGCCACTGTGGCAAGTAACATTCAAAGGACTTGTGCTTTACAATAGGAGAGAACACATCATTAAAGTCGACACCTTATTTTTGAGTGGAACCCCTTGCGCCCAATCTTGCCTTGTATCTCTTCGAGATCACTCCATCGATTCCTTCTTTAACTTTGAAAATCCACTTACAACTGACTAACCTAGCTCCAGCATATTTCTTGATTAGTTCTCAAGTGTGGTTATCATGAAGAGATTTCATCTCATCATCCATGGCCTTAAGCCATTCAGCCTTATTTTGACTCCTCATAACTTCCTTATAGTTTATAGGTTCTTCATCTATAACCTCACTTGCAGAGATTAAGGCATAAGATATGAGATATGCATACCCCAGTCTCTTAGGTGGATTGATGATTCTTCTTGGTCTATATCTTGCCAATAAGTAGTCATTGACAGTTTCCCTAACTTCCTCAGCATCTCCAGCATCTTGTGTTTCTCCTTCGACTTCATATGGGATATGTAATTCATCATCGATATACTCCACCTCAATAGGAATCTCCCCTTGTTCCAGCTCTGCACTTCGACCAACTTCATCAATTTTCTTGAAAGTTATCACAACTTAATTGAAAACTATATCTCGACTGGTGATACACCTTCTCTGACTAGGCTCTATGCATCATAGCCTATAAGCTTTGACTTCTTTAAGGTATCCCATGAACATACATCTCATACCTCTGGGTTTGACCTTGTCTTACCTAATGTGAGTAAAGGCTACGCATCCAAATCTAAGATTGTCGAGATCTAGTGAATGTCTCAACCAAACTTCTTCGGGTGTCTTCATATCTAAATAATCTAAGGACATATATTTATCATATATGTTGTTGTCGAAACAACCTTTGCCCAAAACACCTTCTTTAACCTGGAACTAGTCGGCATGCATCTAACTCTCTCCAATATGGTTCAATTGAACCTTTCATACAAACCATTTTGTTGGGGGGTACCTTCAGTAGTTTTGTGCCTTGCAATATCAGAGGCTGCACAAAAACTATCAAACGCCTCATTTCATAATTCAAGGCCATTGTCGGTTCTCAACCTCTTGACCTTTATGTCAGTGTGATTTTCGACCAGAGTCTTCCAACTTTTGAATTTCTCAAAATTTTCATCCTTGGTCTTCTAAATTTTGTGATTCTAAAGGTATTAGCTATGAGTTTTCTCATTCCATCACTTCTCTACAAAATAGAATTGTTGAGTAAAAGACTAGGGCTATATAGGAATCAATTAGAGTTATGCTCTCCATCAAACAATTATCATTGGAGTTTTGGGATGAAGCTATGAGCATTGCATGCTACATTCATAATAGGTTCACTTTGAGAGGAGATGCTTCAACTACTCTTTATGAGATATGGACTGGGAGAAAGCCTACAGTCAAGCATTTGCATACCTTTGGAATTAAATTCTATGTCTTAGTGAACAAAGATAAAAAAGGTAAGGAAAATCTTATAAGGAATGAAGGAATATTTTTGGGTTACTCTTCAAAAAGAAGAGAGTATAAAGTGTTTAACTCTAGAACTAAATATATTATTGAATCCGCAAGTGTGATAATTAATGATTTTTTCCCTGAAAAGGGGAAGGATTTCGAAGATAATATTGGAGCATCTTTTGTGCAAACTGAGGAGATAGAAAAAGAAACAATTTATGAGTCCAAAAGTGTTGATCCATATAACTCTGAAGTTAGTTTTTAGACAAATCATCTCAAAGAGATCAATACAACATACTAAAATGAAGCAGACATTGTTAATTCATGTCTTGTTTCAAAACTTCAACTAAGGATGTGTTCTTTTATTCAAGAAAGAAGGATCTTGAATTGCATAAGTGGGTCATAGTGGGTCAGTTGGTATTTGTATCTAAGAAACAGTCTGATTTGAGCCTCTGGAAATACTATTGTATCTGAGTATAGTGGAATAAAGAGAGGTTGTTCTCAACTAGGATGGATTGACTAGATGTTGAAGGATGGTACAAGGCTCTCTACAAAAGGCTGGTGACAACACCAAGGAGTGCATGAGGATCTTTGACAAGGGAAAGAGGTGAATGACCACCTGAAGTTTGGTGAATTTCGGTTCCAGCAGTTATTGTGTTTCTATTTATGCTTTCATCTGCTATTTTGTGTTTCCATGTGTATTTTGTGCCTGTGTGCAATATGTGTGCTTCCATATT